GCTGTCAGCCAGTCTCCCAGGAGAAGGGCTGCCTAGGTAGGTGTTTGACAGGCACAGGTCTTTGAAATGGCATTTAAAAGGCTCCAAGAAGCCAAACACTGGGATATGCAGCCTGGGTTCATATCCTTAAAAAAAATAAATCAAAAGCATACGGCGGCTGCTGCTGGTGCCTGGCTCTCCCCCAGAGCACCCCGCTCTGTGGTGCTTGCTGGGGAAAAAGGGCCCCTCCGTTTGTCCAGGAAGACATCTCTTCCGCCCGGAGACAAACCTTCAGTTTCTGTTTCTTCTCTCCGGCCTGGGTGGGGTCCTGTGCACTGCCCTAGAGCCCCTACCTCCTCCTTCAGCCATTTCTTCCCCAGTGGGCCACCAGCACCCCCTCCCCCTGTGGCTGCTTTTCTGCCTTTGCCCTTCCGCCCGGACCCCCGATTCATCCCCTACCCCTCTTCGCTCCCCCACCAGGCATACCTGATCCAAGGGCAAGGGTTCTGTGCCTTGCCTCGGTCAGTCACTCACGTTTATGAGAGGCGGGATGGCAGGCAGTACAGACAATCAGAACAAGATACGTCTTTGTAGCTTTCGACCCTGCCAGCCTGGCTGAGAAATGGAATTCTACTAGAAAGCCGGTAACCAGCAAAGTTAATGGAATTTGCAAAGCTCAGCCTCTCAAGTGCAATTCTTGAGCCTACTTAAAAATTCACCTAATTTTTACCCTGCATGCTCTGGGGCAGAGCTCCACTTCAAAAACAAAGGGGAGGCTGCCCACCCATTTCAGTCACACATGCATGGTCAGACCTCAGCATACAGTGGGGGAGTGGGGCTTGGTTTAGTGGGGAAGATGCTGTTTGGGCTGCCCACATCCCATATTGCTGTACTTGTGTTCCCTACTCAGCTCTGGCTTCTGACTCCAGCTGTCTCCATGGGAGATGGCAGTGATGTTCCTATCACCCACCTGGGAGACCTGGAAGTTTGTGACTTTGGCTTTGGCCTAGCCACAGCCAGTGGACGGTGTGAACCAGTGGGCTGGAGTTCTGTCTCAAATTAAGAGAAGATACAGTAGGTATTCACTACTGTCCAGAGACGAGACCAGGACTTCAGCTCATAGGCCCACTTTTTTTTTTTTTTTAAGATTTTATTTTATTTGAGAGAGAGAGAGAGAGAGGCAGAGACAGAGAGGTCTTCCATCTGCTGGTTCACTCCCCAGATGGCCCCAACAGCCGGAGCTGTGTCAATCCGAAGCCAGGAGCCAGGAACTTTTTCTGGGCCTCCCACATGGGTGCCGGGGACCAAGGATTCGGGCCATCTTCCACTGCTTTCCCAGGCCATAGCAGAGAACTGGAGTGGAAGAGGAGCAGCCTGGACTAGAACCGGTGCCCAAATAGGATGCCAGCGCTTCAGGCCAGGCGTTAACCCACTGTACCACAGTGCCGGCCCCAACAGGCCCACTTCTCACCCAACTCTCCCCAGCCGCAGCCATGTGGGCACCAATGCCACAGAACATTGATCCCACCTGCAGCCAAGTCTCATTAGCTCCCTCGGGGCTCTTACCTTGAGGGCTGACCGACTTCTCCCGGGACCCAGTTAAGTCTGTATGCATTCCCTTTTCCTGCTCTCGTCCTCAATCTGTACCTAGAGCTCTGATCACGTTCCAGTGCCTGCACGCGACAGCTGTCTACAGCCTACGACGCGCAGTTCCAGTCCTCAGGCCACCTTCTCTTCTGGCCCCATTCTCCCGCTCCGGGGATGCCAATGACGCCACCTGCATTCCCTCAGCAGTCACCTCTCAGCTGTGATGGCTCCTGGCCAGCCTCCCCCTTGGCCTCGTCTGCTTCAACCCCACCTCTTCAAGCAAAAACCCAGCTCAAGTGTCTCCTCTCCCTGGGCCTTCCCGGACCCGTCAGTGTTTTCGATTTCCAAAGCACACTTTTTGGGTGTTTCTGTCGTGGCAGTCTGTTTTTTCTGTCGGTTTCAGTCTTTACTTCAGAAACCACAAACTCCTTAGGACAGACTCCAACGGCCCTGGACCTGGGGACCCCTTAGCATGGCAGACAGGCGGGGCCCCCGTCCTAGGGGAGCTGCTTCTCAGGAAGCAGCTGTCCTGTTCCCACGGGACTGCTGGTGGAGGAGGTTCTGTGAACGTCCCAGGAATCTCGGCCTGGGGGCTCTGGGGAAACGCAGCTGACAGGATCCTCAAGGAGTCTAGGGACATTGTCGCGGGGGACAGCAGTTGCTACTCCTCCCTAACTCTGCCTTACAGTCCAGTTCCTCGCTTTTGATATGACTCTGATACATAGGCAGTGACAAATGGTGGTCCCGACCTAATTCTAGGATGTGAGACCTGAAGTTCTGTGATCAACACCTCTAAACTTTACAGTCTGAGCTCACAACCAATTCCGGGCAACATCCACTTGTTTATTCGTCAGCCTTCTCGGCTCAACTCCTGTGGCAGGTGCTGCAAAGGATGGGTTCACTCTGTCCTAACAACTCAGTTAGGTGAGGGAGACAAACCAGTGTGACGCCAGACTTGTGTCCACACACACAACTTCAAAGTGGTTACTGCACACCAGGTTCTGTTCTAAACATTTAACACAGAACTGATTTAATTCTAACTCTATGAGGCAGATTTACAACAATGTCCCCGAGAGGCGGCTTGGAAGAGCTGAACAGAACTGGTGACAGGAGTAACAGGAGGGGTTCTGAACTCAGAAGGCTGGAGGGGCAGGTTGGGAAGGGGATCTGAGGGTGAGGGAGACAGGGGATTGGAGGTAAGGTACCAGCAGTGGGACAGGCTAGAGGAGGCTCGAGTCAGGAGGGAAGAGCGCGTAGGCGGCTATTGGTGTTATCAGGCCAGAAGCAACAAAAACTAGAATTAAGCTAGGAGCAGGAGGGATAGAGTTCATGGAAAACAGCAACAGGGGAGGGAAAGAGACCCCAGTGGAGGTACTACCCAGCTAAGAGCACCCAGAAGTAATCAACCAGGCCACACTTTGAGAAACAGGCCATCAGCAATTCCTTTCACACAATAAGAACAAGAACTAGACCCTGCATGGAAAGACATAATAAGGCCCATCCACGTAGCAGTCTCGCCCCAGAACTACCCTCCCTCAGGGGTCACACAAAATGCCAGGGTCCAGGAGGGAGCGTAATGCTGGAGCCGTCAGGGCTCCACAGTCCCTGGCTTCTCTGCCAGTGACTGCTGGGAGAGCAGAGTCCACGCAGACGTGATGGATGATCCAGCTGGAGTGCGTCATACATTCCCTGCTCATCTCAGCGGGTTTATGCACATCAAAGTGCTAGCGTTTTATAAACTGTAAAACCCAACGAACAGGAATCTTTGCTCGCTGTCAAAGTAGATTCATTTGCACTCAATACAGAATTTCGTCCTTGGACAAGTTACCGCACACAGGCCCTACTGGGTGTACCGCTGTTTAGATTGCCAAGGAGGACATTTCCGCCTCCAGCCCTAATTTAAAATGGACTACAAAGTACTTGGCTGTGATCTTTTCCTGTTACTGTCTACAGCAACCCAATGCAGGGTCCCTAGACAGCAGCAAGAGTCACCCGAAGCAATTCAAGGGAGGGTGGTGTTGCAATGGGGTGGGGGAGGGGCTCTGAGCCTGTGCAATTTTTTTAGGTCTTTGGTGAATGGGACTCACACACTCAATAAATGACTTCTAGTCAAATGCAGCCAGAAATGTCAGTTGTGGAAAAATTCGGCGAGGATGGAACACAGGGTGTGGGGTTACGCATGGAAGCTCTGAGATGGTTCTAATGTCACTTCCCCTCACAGCGGCTGCAGCGACTCGTTCCCTTATCTGTAAAGTGAGCAGGATTGAAAACCTCGCTACTTTTTGCAGGGAAATTCAAGCAAACCAATCAGAATTTAAGGAACCAACAACAAAAGTCTTCCCTTTGTAACCAGGGGTGTTCAGTCCCTAGGCAGAGATCAGTTTGCTGAAAAAGAGCCTCTGTCCGGGTGGAGTATGCCCCATCTCACCCAGTTTTTCCATCCGAGTTTACTCATATGTAAGAGAATTACATTCATGTATGGAATTTTGTTTACAAACAGGTTCCTCTGCCCCCACCTTAAACTCTTGGTACTTTAATCGATTGTTTGTGGTTAACTTTCTCACCTTAGTACTTGGAACATTCTTGATGAGATGTAAAAAAGCTCAAACTATTAATTTCAACTCGATCAGTTGAGGAGATACGTATTTTTTGATTATTACTTCTAGTATCACTCTCTGAAAGGAACTTTCCTGGTACATAATTCATATGCAAAGCAAACTGTGGGATAGGATTTCATTCTTTAAAGCTTTTTATTTACGGGGTGTGATGTGGCAAAGTGGGTTAAGCCCGTGACACCAGCATTCCATACAAGAACACCAGTTCAAGCCCCTGCTGCTCTGCTTCTGATCCAGCTCTCTGGGAAAACAGCAGAAGATGTTGCAAACATTTCGATCCCTGACGCCCATGTGGGAGACCTGGGTGGAGTTCCAGCTTCCCAGCTCTGGAACAAACACCTGTGGGCATTTGAAGAGTGAGCCAGATCTCCCATTTGCTGGTTCACTCCCCAAACGACCCCAACAGCCAGGACCTGACCAGGCTGAAGCCAGGAGCCTGGGGCCAGCCAGGTCTTCCACCTGAGCAGGGATCTAAATGTTCATGCCATCTTCTGCCAGAACACATCCCACGTGGTGTGCAGGCACCCAGACACGGGAGCCATCACCTGCTGCCTCCCAGGCTGCACATCGGCAGAAGGATCCAGAGGAGGAGGCGGGACTCTGATATGAGAGGCAGGCATCCCGAGGGCGTCGACCGGTTTGAGCAATCCCTGCACTTACTCTTTCCTTACTTGACCAGGATACTTGACACACGTTTACGTAACATTCTCTAGTCTGTATACAATGGAAGGTCACCTAGGTAATGAATTCATCTGATGACTTTTCTCATCCACTTAACCAAACCAACATCACCAGTTTTTCCTTCCAGTCAACAATAAATAACAACAGCAGGGATTTTTTTTATTCCATAAAGCATTAATAAGATATTTTAATGAGAAAAAAAACAAAACAAAACATAGTCTCATGTTTCTATCCAAAGACACTCAAAACTAGTTTTTCCCTGCCCATCCCTTCCAACTGCAACTTTGTGACCATTAATAAAGGCCAGTTTAAAGTTTTTTTTTTAAAAAAAGTTTAAACCTTTTTTAAAAAGATTAAACAATCAGGCTAGCAAAAAGGTACTCAATACATACTTTCCTTATATCAAACAAGCTAATATTTCAGTACAATGTAACTATACAGAATATATACAATACACATATATTCACAAAGCAAACACTATAGGCTCAGAACAGATTTGAAAAAACATGATATTCACATTGATTACAATAACTCTAAAAATGATTGTAACGTTGAAACGGCACTTAGTTTACAAAAAAGTCACAAAAATATATGTGTGTGTGTGTGTGTGTGTGCGTGTGTAGTCACCAAGAACTATGGTTCCTGTAAAATACTAATAGCCAGGTACTAGTATATAAAACGTGGATTTCTGACATTGTATACATTTTTAGGAAATAAAACAAAATCCAAAACCATTTTTGCTATTGTCAAAAGTCAAACATGCCAAGTAACTTAGCTGTGGCCACTGTCACCGAGGAAAGCCACATTTGAAGGAGATGACGACTGGACACAAAGCTGGTGAACTAGGGACTGGCACAGGGTAAGTACTGCATCTAGGAGGGGCAGAAGACATGAAAACCACCCACTTATGTAAATCAAATTCACATTTTCTCCCCAGAATTACCCTTCCTTGAGGGCGTCACAAGATGCCAGTGCCCCAAAAGAACCATAACGCTGAAACCGGCAGGGTACAAAGGTCCCTCCCCAGCCCTGACTTCCTTGCCACTGGGCAACAGGCAAATATGAAAGCATGCATCAGCTACACAAAGCAGTCACCTGCCCACCTGGAAGAGCCTGGTGCGGGGTTTCCTCCTAGGCTGGCTGCACTAGAAAAGTACTCTGGTTTTACATGGAGCCAGATTTATGTTAGCCCTGTGAAATACTGAGCTACTTAAAGCAGCAAATGTGAAATTATAGAAACAAAACCACAATTTTATTTAGAAATTCATTTCTGTTACATCAAAGCAATTTTTTCCCCCTCAAACTGACTCCTTAACCAGACATCGATGTTTTCCATCGCTGAATTCTGGTCTACTATCTCAAGTTGACTTTCTCATCATGCTGCTCTGGGAAAAGACACTTCCTAATCAGGAAAAGTTTAAATTTACTTTTAAAAATGGGAATACAGGAATTTTAAAGTTTAAAAAAAAGTCTGTTCTAAAAGTATCTTTCACAAATATATATATATTTAAATATTAAAATAGGCTACCTAGGATTTTTTATAAAATGGCTTTTGAAAAGACAGCAGAGGCACCAAGAAGCCATCTACTATCCTCCAAGTTGGACATAAGGTGCCACAGGGGTGCCCTGTAAAGAGGCAGGCAATCTCTATCTGATGCAACAAGAGGCAGCAGTAGCAACAGAAAAATTAAATATATCACTAGGAACTGGGATCAAAACCAAATTTTACCCTACTAGGGACTGCTGCTTAAAAGAAAAAGAAACACAAAATATAAGCATTACAAGCCATTTCTTTGCACAAGGAAGAAAATGATTAAAGTTTATGACCTTACTCCTTCCAAATACCCGCTGTGTCATTCATTTTAGGTACTTGAAAGATGAAAGAAAAGTAGTGCAACTTTCCAAAATGTAATGGACTACTCTCAGTATGAGAGACTTCACACAGCATCTGCCCACTAGAAAACCAAGTTGGTAACTAACAAGAAGAAATCTAGAGCAAACACGCATGGCCTAATACAGAAAAGGCTCTCCGTAGCAAGCAGGTGCCTGAGAACCGCACCAAAGGCTTCCCACCTTCAAGGGAAGCCAGCTGCCACTGGCACCCAGGAGCCGACGTGCACTGAGAGGAGCCGACGGGCTTCTCTACAGGCAGGGCTTGAGCCTTCCTCAGCAGGAGATGGACTCTGGTTACCCAACATTCACCTACAGGATGGTTTTTAACTAATTTACTTGAATAACAAAATCTGGAAATGTTTAGACTGGCATTCGGGAAAATGACCACAATTTAACACAAGTCACGACATTAGTGTCACAACTCCCTAAACCATTAAGCAGTGATTTTATTAATAAATCATCACAACTGACCCCAGGACTTCAAGCTGAATCAGTGAAATTAGCCATTTTTAAAGAGAAAGGATACAGCACGATAATCTGATTTTATAAGCCAGGTACTTCAAACTAAAATTTAAAAATTGTATTAAAAAAAAACCTAAAAAGAATTTTCTGGTTTTAATCCATGGTCTGAACTCTTAAATTCTTGTAGGCTATTACATACACAGGAATCTTGATATTAGCTAGGACTGGCCTGGGTCCTTTTCAGAGGGTGCTTACTTAACTAAAGCAGCATAAACATTTCAAGGTAGTTTCATTTTGGATACTGCCAAACCAAGATTCCAGTAACAGCTGGAAATCCACAGAGGCTATTTGCTTAACATGGAACTATTTCTCTCATTGTGATACAGTGGAAATATCTGTGTTTAGGACAAAGTAAAATAAGAAACGAGTATGACTACTGATGTGACTGGTCTCCTGACACAAGGCTTCATCCACCATGAGTATGATGAAACATCTCAACAGATCTGCAGTCTGAATTCAGAAACCACAGGGTGAGCTTCCTTAACTCAACTTGAGGCTGGCTCATTGTATTTCACTGTTTAATTTGAATCATTATTGCTCTTGGCTAATTTATCTTGCTGAGGACTTTTCAAATAAAAATACCCTATATGCCACCACATTTAGTCAAGCAAAAATGACACTGAAAGATAAAAATGGGTCTGGACAAAATAAGGAGCAACTTAATTTAAATTTGGTGATTCTGGCCTAAAGCCTATGAGAGTATGCTTAGCTATACACAATTCTCATAGAAACATCTACCTCAAAACAGAGCTTCCCTTGTTCTCTCAATTTGTTTTACTGCTTCAGAAAAGTTTCTATGCATTCTTCTCTCAGTAACTTTTAAGATCTAAATGTACTGTAAGCAAAGCATCTGATGTCAGTAGCTACAGTGAAAGCCACAGTTACTGCCTTTTGGCCATTTTGGTTTCTTCCAAATGTAAAGTTCACTAGTTTTTCTGCCAGTTAATAACTAGAAGGTTATTTTATTCTTCATTTGGATGCATATTTCAGCTATAACATGATATCTTGGAAATAAATGAGTGAAACAGAAAATTTTTAAATTTTCTTGTTCATCAATGTACAAATCTCAAACTTTCAGTGAATATACACAATTTTAACAGTTCATTCTGTGTGTCTACTAGTATAGAATTATATAAAGTAATATACTTTTCAGGGATATAAAGCTGAAAGTGACTAAAACATGATCAGAGTGTCTTCAAAATAAAAGCCACTAAGCTGATAAACTGGTCTCTGTTTAGATTAGGTTAATAAGCAGCGAAAGGACTCAGGCTCGCAGGGAACCATTTATAGACTGGGAGAGTCTGGCTCAGTGTTAGAAGGTTAGTGAATTACTCATGATTAAGTATATCAGATGTGCTGACCAGTCTACTCCATTAGGTAAAATATTTGAACAAAATGGAAGCTTTCCTGTTTGTAAAACCAAAGGACGTGTGTCCCTGCATGCGACCTCCCTGCTATATGTCAGAAAGGTTGCTCAAGTTTTAAAATGTAAGATGGATGAGGATACTTAAGTATTTTACTTTATTCTGTCTCACTGAAACTGAAAACATAAAAAAACTGACAGTGTAACTAACTGTTTAATTACTTAAAATAAAAATTAAGATGATTGGCAATTCAAAATAAGAAAAATACATTTAAATATATTTGAGGATGATAACTTCCATCTGCACCCATTTATAGAAAACTCAGGGTGAAAACACCCGATCCAGTATTGATCTCTTTGTTTCAAATCAGAATTAGTGACATGCTGGATGCTTCTATTAGAATACACCATTAAAAATTAAAGGAATGACTATAGGAGCTATAACATCTAGTATTATGGGTGAACATCTTTGTTTGCTTCTGAAGTATATCACATCTATTTGGCAGTTAACAAATTGAAAATAAAAGATTTTCTTGTATAAAATGCTTGGTTTTAAAAAGGTAACTAATTTTGCATTCTAAAATTTAAGCCCTTTAAATATCACAAAGTTATCCTCTTGGGCCCTAAGGAAATAGCTATCCTTATATATTCTAAAGAAGAGTATTTTAATGTTTGGTTACACAGGTAATTTCTAATGGATGGGATAATGTAACTGGCTCTCATCTCTTTGCAATGTTTTCCCTACGTTCTGATACAAATTATATATCTAGGCATTCCTCATTGAAATGAGTTTTAAATAAATCTAAATACTACTATATATACAATTATCCTTTGCAGCTTTGTTTCCTTAAACAGATCCATAAACTAAACTTCCTTAAATCATATATCAAGAAAAATGCAGAGCCTTAATGAGACAGGAAAAGGCTTTTGTTTGTACAATTTTATGTTAAATAGTCATTAGTCACCTTGAATTGATAGGTTTGGGCAACAGAAAACTTAACCAGACATGTGTTTTCACAGTATATTCAAATTTCCCATAAAACTTGTAGATATGTGAATTTGTTACTACCAATTAAGACCTAAAGTTTGCATTTGGGAAGAGCACCTAGTGATAGGTGGTCTTTCATCCTGAGAATATGATCCGAGTACTTCAGAGCTGCCAAAATTGTGCAGGGCTCCTTCTCATCACAGAGTTCTCAGGACAGGAGATTTGCTACAGCATTTCCAACCAATAAACCTGCTAAGGATTCTTACACTGCTCTTTATTCTTAGGTCTTTCCTTCCTTTCATTCTGTCTTGTTCTTAAAAAAAAAAAAAAAAAGGTAACTCTTGAAACTAAGAGCAACAATGATGCTTAATCACAGATTTTACCTCTTCTTTGTTTTGCCAATACAGGATTTTTAAATTAATTTTGAGATTTATCTATTGGTAAGCCTAAGTTTGCATACACTACCTATGAAATAAAAAATAAAACTTCCAAACCTGCTCAGTTGAGACACAGCAGCACCATAGTACCAGTCTGTTGCAGAAAATAATTCAGCCCTACTGTAAAAGAAGTCTAAAAGGTAGAAGCCCATCACAATCTGCATATGCTGATCCTCTTGAAAGCAACATACCTATGTTTAGGAGGAAATGGGTAAAAAAACCAGGTTCATGAATGAGGTAAAACACTAGAAATAAGTACAGCAGAGTATGGGCAGAGACAGAAAGAAACTTAACAAAAAATTCCAATGAGTTCACTTTTGCTTACTTTATATTTTTTGAAGAAAAAAACACCCTAAATTACAGAATTAGCCAATTTTAAAAAAAATGAAGTCATTTATCATTAAAAAAACAATATTTAGTAATTCCTGGCACCTGAACCAAATTCAGATCTGTGTTTTATCTAGAGAGTAGTATTTTGTTTCTCTTCCCTAATCTAATCTGATGCTTTGCTTTCTTAATTATTAAGCTCTGGGTAGATAAAAAGAACAAATGTTATTCAAAAGCCTATTATTCACGAACTCATCAGTACTCAGGGTTAGAGGCAGAGATACTTCAATGGCATCAGAGGAAAACGTACCCCAGTCTACAGCATCTGATAAATTTCAACTAGAAAACTACGAAGTTTCCTTTGAGCAGCACAAATGCTGATATTCATTAATTTAGGGTTTTTAGTTTTTTGTTAGTATAAACAATTTTCTTCTTTCCCCCAGATTTATGGGTCATAGATGATCGTTTTATAGCTTCTTATCTTTTAAATTATTGCTTACACTGTGTAAAAACTATAGTAACTGCTTTTAACAAACTTGGCAATGTCTAAAAATATTCTGGAAGAAGGACATGTCACGGTCATACAGGGCTTTGTAAACAATCTTAGTTAAGAATGTCGCCTCAACAGAGAATTATTCTGTCCAAAAAAGCACATTAAAAACATCCCTGACAATACACAAGCCTATATATAAAATATAGAGTATCTCCAATATTTTTCCTTTATATGGTAGCACATCAGTATAGTAAGGTAAAGTACCCCTGATGGAGCAAGGAGAAAACTCATTTGGGTGGTGCCCTAATTGGACAATCACATTCGAAGACCAGATAAACATCAATTTTAGTCAGAAGAGCAGGATTTAAACCATTCCCGTGAAGCTGGGGTTTACCTACTTCAGCTTCCAATGCTGGCCACTTCATCCACTGCTTGACTATTCTCAGTCATGGTTCTTTGCCTTTCGAGTGGCACTGTAATGGTACAAGGAATGTCTACCCCATTCCCACCTTTCATCAAGAAAAATTATAATAGAAATGACAAATACTAAAAAAAGAGAGTATGCTGGGTCTCAGAAGTATTTACCCTAATAATTTTAAAGAAAGCTTACCATAAACACTTCAAAATCAACAGGCTTTACAAAATATTGTACAGCGTCCTGTGTATAGGAGTAAACATCTACTCAGGCCAACTGTCAGGTAATTTGTCTCTGTACACCCATTCATCTCAGGAAAGTTAATAACCACCTCATTTCTTCTTACCGAATGGTCTAGCATTACCCCACTTTTAACAATGGAAGAAGACACTGGTAAATGTTGTAAAAGTCAACTGGTTCTTCTTAATTCTCATAGTTTCTACTGTGTTCCAACATCATGTTATAGTGTACTTACAGAAACAATCTCTCAGTTATGAAAAATAAAATATCAGTTGCAGGGCTTACAAAGTAAAAAGGGAAATTCTTTCCCAAATTCTATTTTTGTTTAAAAAATTAAATTAAATTTAAATGTACAAGACCAAGCACAGGCACTTTCCAAAAACCAAAAATGAAGCCAAACCACAGAATTAGTCAATAGTTATAGAAGACAGCTCTGACTTTGGGGGGTCATCTCTGGTTGCCTCAGAACAAGTACTGGTCTTTGGCTGCTCTGGCACTTCTTCCTCCTTTTCTGCCAGCCCACCAAGAGACCCCAAGGGAAAAGTGCTTTCGCAATTCTGGGTGGAGGAGACCTGTGAAATTACAGGCATTTGAACAGAGGAGTTGCTTTCAAAACTGTGTTCTCCAAGATCATACTGAACAAGGGTCTCTTCTTGCTCCTGGTTTAAGTAGTCCGGTACTAGGAAATCACTAGATGAGAGGCAAAGGATGAAACAGAGAGTTAATTTTAAATCAGTAACAGACAGACTACAATAAAAAGATAGGACCTGTAAAACAAGATTGGGCTTTTTCATTTCACTAATTCTTCCACGAAGATAAAACTCAGAAACTTTCAACTTAGACATTTTCTTAAATATGAACTAAAGCTAGTAATTAGGACCAAGTGTCCCAACTCCCTACCACCAATGCATGAAGTTAATTCCTACGTTCAGTGTCTCTTTAGACACTTAAGCACCCTTTCTTCTTTGCAGAGGAGTACCTATACATGAAGCAAATATAAGCAGCATGCTCACTGTAAGCAATCGTCTGAATCATCAAACGCTTAGCCTTCCTTGGACCACACACTGAGACATATATAAACCCAGTTTCATGTTACTAACTGGATATATGTTAAGTAACCAAGTCCTTATATATAAATGACTTTATACATCATTTACAATACAAAGTTGAGAAATGTAGGAAATAACTGATGTGTCCTGCTATTAGATTAAGTAAATTAAAGTAAATTACTTTTGAGTCAGAATTTGGAAATGAATATGTTGAGATTGGTTATATATGCTAATTCTCTAGAAGTATTTCATTATTGATCTTATTGGAAATATGGGCAGTAGAATACACAGAAAATTTGACAACAGTGGATATTTTCCATGAGTGGTAAGATCAGAAAAAATTTTAATTTGTTCTTTATACTTTCTGTATTTTCTAAAATGTCTATGGATAAGCACTTTTGGGGTATTAAAAGAATAAACTTTATAAAATACATCATCCTAAATGCTTTAAATCATTATTATTGATCTAAAAAAGTTCCTTACATTAGGACTGTCAAATTATAGTTGGTGAGGTTATTTATAATTTGATTGTTATTAATAAGAAATCTGATTATCTGCAAAGGAACTTAAAATATCCTATGTTATATATCCTAAAAAAGTCTTCAGTGATAGAGAAAAGGAGTGGGGGATACAGGACACTTAACAGGGAACATACAGATGATAAGAATGGTTAACCGCAACACTATTTTAATCATAAGCAGGCTATGTTTAACATGATATGTGTAACCAAGATTTAATAATGTGACAACCATACATTCAGAATTAGATGTGATCACATTAAACAAAATGAATGTATGGTTTGATGGGAAAAGATTTATGAAGAAATAATTTGTTATTTATTGAAAAAGTTTCAAAAATACAGGTAACTTACAACATTATGATTTACAAAGATTTCATTTTGTAAGAAACCAAAAATTCCTACAGAGGTACAATATTCATAAAGTATTAAAAAACAGACAACAGAATTTTCTATCTAGGAGACCTTAGAAGCCATCTGTTGAAAGCTTACACTTTATCTTATGCTAAGTTTCAGGCTTCTTCATCTGCAAAGTGACATGCGTAATCAACAGCAGTCAATGGCAGAGCTACAACTAGAACCTGATCGCCTTGGAAACCCTACAGACCAGAAAGGCAGCTCTATTATAAATTATTAAAATTAAAAGCATGGAGCTCTGAACTCAGGAACACAGGAAAGACTTATTTGATCTAAACAATCACATCCGCTACAGCTGCACCTGCGGTTCCTTTTGTACTGCTAATGGGACATTGCTCAGATAGAATTAAAAAAGAGACAGAGAGAGAGTGTGTTTGAGAATTTTAGTCCTAGCCAGAGTCTGTAGTAACCCTGGACTACTGAGTATTATCTGGCATGGTATATTTTCCAGTAAGATATAATGATCTACTATAAAATTATTTAACATTAGGTTTTTTTTTTTTAAAAAAAACTAAGAGTATACTTCTGTAAGAAAATATTTTTAATACTACCAACTATAAAATATTTATAATTTTATATTCTTAGAAAAGATTCAGCAAAATTTTATCAGATTAGAATACGGACAGTGGGGTTTTAAAATGAAGACTGACTAGCTGGCAACCTGATTAAAAAAAACACAGCAGGCTGCCCTAAAAGCAGGAAGAGAGAGTTCAGAAAGCAGTTTTCCTGGCTGGGTTTTCGCTGTGCACCTCACCTGCTCTGGAAGTAGTTTGCTAGCTCTGATGCTTCATGGTTCAGACTCCTCAGGTGCACGATTAAATTTCCAGAGTTGGTGAACATGGCGCCACATGTTTTGCACTCGTAAATCCGAGGCTTGCGGATAATGTGCCGGGAAACCCTCATGTGGTGTTTATATTCCCCGAAGGAAGTGAAAGTGGCACTACATATCTGGCACCGGAAACAGCGTTTACCTTCATGCTTTAGGCGATGCATCTTTAGCGAGTAAGCCCTGGTGAACTTTTTCCCACAGCGGTCACACTGAAATGGTTTAATTCCTATAAAACAAAGACAAACAAAATACCATCTAAAAACAAAATGAACTAAAAAGTCATAAATCCCACAAATTTCTCAATTATAATTTTGTAGTAATCATTTAAAAAGGCAAAAACACCAGCAAAATGTATTCTAATGTATTCTACACCATTATCTCAGAGAAGTTACAAAAATCTGAAAAGCCACTAAAAAAAAAAAAAGGCAGGACATGGAGAGGCAAACTAGGTGATACATGCTGGAAATGGTTTTTGAATACTCTTCTAAATCACTGATTTTACAAACTTCAAAACAAATTTAAACAAAAGTATTGAAACAGAATCAAAGCCACCGTGTAAAATCACTTGTAGCTTCATTTCACTAACAAACAGGTTTATACTAAAAAGGTGTGAAAATGATCAATACCTCCTTCTCCATTTCTTATCTCAAGGAGTAAAATGAGCGGGAAAAAGCAAAATTCAAACATCTCTTGAATGTAAGGATCATGATACAACGATCACGTGATGAACTGGCTCTTTGGGTATTTAGTACAATACTGATAGAAAATTAGTGAGTTATAAAGCATATTAATGGTCTCCTTAAATTATCAGTTTCTTTTTGGGAAAAAGCAAATTAAAAACCCCATAAAACATAATCTGTGGATTTAACAAAGTCAGAGGGAATTTGTGTTAGGACACAGACTATCAGCCTTATTTATGCACAGAAGGAGAAAGCAGGGCACTAACAAGCTGAAGACGGCAGCGAGGATCTCTCACCCACAGAGGTCAAGGTTTTACCCCTAAGTATCTGTCGCCTTTACACGATCACTGAACTTAAAATTTCACTGAATCTGTTCTACACATTCATTGAAAATCTCTTATACTAAAAACAAAAAGCAAAAACCACAAAGCTAACTAATCAGGGCACAGAGAAATTTAGAAAACAAATTTTAAAAGCTCATTTTTATTTGGAAATAATTTCAGAGAAGTTACAAAGAACACGATACATGCCCTTTTACCTCACTAGCTTTACCATCTGTGTCCATGTCTCCCCATCTCACAGACACTCATCTAATACACCCAGTATCTTAATTTACATATTAACTCTAAACGTCTTAATATTTTAATCTATTTAATACAAATAATGGCATTTTAAAATTTTATTAATTTGAGAGAGAAGCAGAGAGAGAAAGCTCCCATCTGCTGGCTCACTTCCCAAACGCTGCTGGGCTCAGGGAATGCAATCCAGGTCTCCTAGGTGGATGGCAGGAACCCGACCCATCAGTGCTGCCTCCTAGGGTCTTGCAGCAGCAGAAAGCTGGGGTGAGGGGTGCAGCCAGGCACTGAACCCAAGCACTGCGACATGGGATTCAGCAGTCTCAAGCAGGGGCTCACTGCCATCCACTCCTGAGTATTAATCAGAAAATTTAAGCCAGAGGCCAATGCACAAGCAGACAGATTCTAACTGCACCATTTCAGCTACAGACTTAAGCTAATCTACTCATATTTGATTACACTTCTTTTTTTCTTAACTCAAAAGTACCTGTTTTTATTTTAACTAGGATTCCAAAATTAAAATGTTTTAGAGCACTCACTCACTTAACAAGGAAGACAGCATTACCTGAGTGGATGAGCATGTGCTGTTTTAGGTTCTGAATACGGGTGAATCGCACCCCACAGGTTGGACATTGAAAAGGTCTGTCTGGACCATTTGGACTTGGTCGTTCTGTACTGCTGGTGGAAGGAGCAATGTAGAGTTGGTAGGGGTACTGAACATTTTCCAATCTAAAAAAATAGACCAAAGAAGGCAACCAGGCTCTGATTTTTAAGTTGAATAAACATTTCTGCAGGTCAGTATTACATGAACGAAAGAAAAAACACTAAAAAATACTTTTGAAATAGCTTAGCTGTCAGATTAACTGGTTAAAGAACGAAATCCTGTCTTTTGCAACAAAAAGAATGCAACTGGAGACCATTATGTTTAGTGAAATAAGCCAGCCCCCAAAAGACAAGTATGTTTTCTTTGATTTGTGGTAGCTAATATAGAAACTGACATCATGAGATCTGATTATTGTTTATAGCCTTTTTTATACTACTGTGGAACAGTGGTCTTTCTACTTTCTACTTGTTGAATTCTTTATTTAGTGGAGGATTATGGCTGTGACTACAAAGTAAAATGAAATTATGTCATCACCAAAAAAAAAAAAAACCTAAAAGAAGGAAGAGGGAGGGAGGGATGAAAATATCATGAGCTTAAAATCGTACATATGAAATACATGAAATCTGTTCTCATTATATAAACTTAAAAAATACCAAAATGTTATTGTCCAGGGAGTCTAGCATCTTAATTAAGTATGGCCATTTAAACACAGGACATATCATAACCTATTTTACCTTGCTAGCCTTCTCTCTAATCCCTCCCTGATTACCACTGCTTTAATTTAGGGCCTCATCAGTATAAGCCTGAATTAACAGATCTCCCTTTACCTCCACACCCCTCTAATTTATCCTTCTCATCGTACCACAGTGATCTGAATAAATCAGCCACCTGTATAAAGCCTACAGAACTGCTATCTTCAGAATAAATCTAAACTCCTTTGGAAGGCTTGCCAGACTCCTTCTGATCTGGGATCTGTGTCCCTTTCCAGCCTATCCCATAGCCTACACCAATACTTCCCCCAATGTGCCATAATCTCTCTGAAGGCTGTGATTCTGAGCATTTAACTTCACTGCCTACCTTGTTCTAGATGATGATCATTTTAAGAAATCTAGCTTAGAAGTCACCTTGTCCTCTGGGAAGCCTTCTTTGACTCATCGATTGCTTATGTTGGTTCTCTCCTATGCAGGCTGCCCATGAGAACTCCCTGTAGATCGCTTATGATGATGTTTATTTCTCCACTTTCAACCTCTCTCCCTCCCCCCGTAATGAGACAACTGCGTCCTTGGGAAGCGACAGACATCTAACCTCTATCCCCATCACCCAGTACAGTATTTCATAAACTACAGAAGACCCAACTTCATATCTAAAATTAAGAAATGTGGGTAATTAGCTTATGCGTTCATTAATTCACTGAAATAAGTGTAGTTCATAATCTCCTCTCTCAGACTTAACTATTCAGGAATCATATACCTTGTTGAGTCCCGTGATTCCCTCCAGGTTTCAGCAACTAAGTTGTTTTTTTTTTTATTTTTTTAATTAATTAATTTTTTTTGACAGGCAGAGTGGACAGTGAGAGAGAGACAGACAGAGAGAAAGGTCTTCCTTTCCCGTTGGTTCACCCTCCAATGGCCGCGGCGGCCGGCGCGCTGCGGCCGGCGCACCACGCTGATTTGAAGGCAGGAGCCAGGTGCTTCTCTTGGTCTCCCATGGGGTGCAGGGCCCAAGCACTTGGGCCATCCTCCACTGCACTCCCTGGCCACAGCAGAGAGCTGGACTTGAAGAGGGGCAACCGGGACAGAATCCGGCGCCCCGACCAGGACTAGAACCTGGTGTGCCGGCGCCACAGGTGGAGGATTAGCCAAGTGAACTGCGGTGCCGGCCCAGCAACTACAGCTTTAACGTTGTTCTGGGCTCTCTTTGAGGAGGCACTTAGTTGTTTAGTGAAGTCTGTATTCAGTGACGAGAGGCATATAAATAGAGAAGATTATCAAAACAGGAGGGTCCAACAGTGATTGGGCATTGCTTTGGACTGGTCAGAAAGGCCTCCTTGCCAACTGACACTAATATGGTGATCTGACGGTCAACAAGGACCCACCAATGTGAAAGTCAGGGAAGAAAGCAGTTCAGGCAAAGGCCCTACAGTGACAAAAAAGGCTCAAAGACAGGAACAAATATGGAATCTTCCAGGGGCTGAAAGGAGGTCAGTGTGGTGGGACTGTAGTTTGCAAGGAGCATGGTCTAAAGGGAGTTCAGAAGAAGTCCTGTCACACAGAGTTTAAGATTTTAAGTGTGAATGGAGAATGTCAACCAATAGCTTAGAACAATGATATATAATCTCACTTTAAGAAGCTTCTGGCTGTTATGCGGAGAATGGAGTACAATAAAAATGAACGAAAGAATGAAGAAGCTGTCAATCAGTGGCCAGTTTGAAGGTTATTGCAGTAGTCTATACAAAAGATGGGGGTGACTTAGACTAGGGTTCCCTTGTAGGCAGACTGGGATTACATTTTTGCAGGCAGAGTTGACAGGACTTAAGAATTAATTTAAATAAAGGGAGGGAGAATGGGGAGTTATATGGGAAAGAAAGATCACAAATAGTTCTGAGATTTTTTTCAGAAACTGGGGGATGATGATACTATTGACTGACATGGGAGAAAGACTAAGATGGGGAATTAGAAATCAAGAGTTCTGTCCTGGCCTTGTCCAGTCTGCAAATGATCTTTATATATCTTTGTGGGAACACTTTTATAGAGCAGATAGATTAATATGAAGATAATGACTTTATGGACACACAGATAAAGATCTGGCAAACACTTTTTGTAGCAGGCTAGGTAGTATTTTGACTTTGCAAGCTATACACTATTTCATTCTGCCATCTATAAACAATATGTAAACAAGTGTGTTTGTGTTCTAATCAACACTTAATTTACAGATAAAGGTGGTGGGCTGGAATTCACCTGTGGCCCAAAGTTTGTCAATACTCAACAGATACCCCGAGAAGTTCATAGAAAATAAATTAAAATAAGTTTGTTTTGGTACAAAGAATGTTTTTGAAATCTACAAGTACAGGGATCTTCAAAAGTTGTGGAAGATGTGTACTGTGAAAACACTAGGCCTAAATTTCAAAATTTTTCTGAAATAAAATAAACTTCTTTAAATTCCATTTATCATGAACTTTTTACCCTCATATTTCAAGCAATAGTATTAGGTTTGTAAATGCCAGGAAAAAACCTGTACAGGTGGTCAAATTTATAATAATGACAATGCTATCTGATTACTCTGAAAAGTATACTCAAGTGAGATCCCAATCAATGGCCTTTACAATTCCTATATAAAATACTTGACTTTTTAAGCACACCCTCACAAGACGACGACATGCTTTGTTAGTACTAACCGATCATCATCATCTGCGTGAGTATTCGTGCTGGAAGTGCTTTGAAGTGTTGGTAACCCCTCGGTAACACCTTCGTCTACTGAACCTGTAAACAGGAGAAAGAAGACAGCTGTCAATACTTTGTTGTAAATAAGCCAAGATGTTGATTGTAAGCTATAGATATCCAAGCCTCTAAAGAATTCATATTTTGAATTATTAATCAAAAGTGGTAGGTTTATCTGAATTAAAAACATGTGAATTCAGATAACATCCTTATATTACTATTCAAATTCTTCTCAGGATACAAATTTCAGAAATCAAGTGGAGCAATCCAAATGCAAACTAAACAAAAATAAAATAATTAACAATTAAGGAAACACTGAGAATTCTTCTCTTTAAAAATGTATTTTATTGTAACAAACATTACTGTCCCACTTCTCCATGGAATTTACAGGACAAAGTGAACACCTGGGCAACCTCCACGCAAGCTGTGTGAAAGTACTGCCAGGGTCCTAGAAGTCCCCACCCACCCTTCTCATCCTCAACCTTCACCTTGTAAGCCTGATTTTTATTCAAATACAGGTCCCCATAAACTAGGAACTGTTTTTTGCAAAAACAAAGCACACACATGGTCAGGGCTACTTTTCCATCATGTACAGTGCCAGAGCTGAGTAGCTGTGGTTGTGATAGTGAGTTCAGCCCAAACTATTTACTGCCTGGCCGTTAAGGAAGAGTCTGATAATGCCTGCCATAGACAATCAAGTTCGGTTGTTTGGTTGTAAACTCTATATAAACTGAGTCATACAATATGCATGTGTCTTCCTTCTTTCCTTTAACATCATAGACTTACTCATGCTGTTAAATGTAACAAGTTTATTTTCACTGCTGCATCATCTATCCATTTTACACCCGATGGACAGTTTTAGGCTACTACAGACAGTGCTGCTGTGAATATTCTTGTACAAGTAACTTAATGCACATGTGTAAGATTTTCTCTAGGGCATAAGCTTAGAAGTGGAATTGTGAGGTCACAGAAAACACGCATTTTCAATATTATTCACAAATGCTTAACTCTTCCAAAGTGACTGTATTAAATCTGCATTACTGCCAGCAGCACATACGAGCTGTGTTGTTCTGCATCCTCAACATTTAGTATTGTTGGGATCTTAAACTTTTTACCGATTTGATGGTTGTGCAGTAGTTTCACTTCCCTTTCTATTAATGAGGTTGAGTTCCATTTTACGTATTTACCAAGCCTAGTCTGTGAAAAGCCTCTTCAAGTCTTGCTATTGCGTTGTTTTATCTTTGCACCTTATATGGCTTGTCTTTCTAATCTTTCATGGTTTATTTGGAAGACCACAGGTTTTTAATTTTAACTTAGCGTGATTTGTAAATCTTTTCCTTTATAGTTACAGTTTTTGGTCTTGTTTATAAATGTAATTCCCTTCCCAGGGTGGGCATCTGGCCTAATGGCGGAGCTACTGCTCAGGGTGCCTGCATCTTTTATCAGAGGGCCTGGTTTGAGGCCTGGTGCTGCTCCTGATTGCAGCTTCCTGCTGGTGCAGACCTCAAGAGGCAGCAGGTGAGGACTCCAGAGGTGGTCCCTGCCACCCATGTAAGATGTGGAGAGTTCTTGGCTCTTGACTGAGCCCAGCTCTGGCTGTTGTGGGCACCTGGAGAGTGAACCAGTGGATACGAACTTTATCTACCTGTCTCTAACTCTCAAATAAATAAAAATGTAAGTTTTGGTAAAGTCTTTCTCAAGAAAGAAGAATCCCCATTTCAAATTATCTCATGAAAGACTGATGTTGTTGCCTTTGGGATTTAAGTCTTTAATCCACCTTGAGTTGATTTTGTGACCAAATGCATTTATTAAGGAATATCGCATTCTCTGCTTAGTAGTGCCATCTGTTACTTATCAAGTGTCCATAAACACCCGAGTTGGTTTCCAGATTTTTCTATCAGCTCCATTTGCCTGTCTGTCCTTGCATAATCTTTGGTTACCGCACCTCTAAAATCAATCATGGTATCAAGCAGAGTAGGTCCTCTCACCTGTTCATTTGTTCCCTGAACATTCTGGCTTTTTCTTGGCCCTTTGCATTTCTATGCACATTTTAGAATCAACTTGTGGAATAGAAGTGGTAACAATCACTTTTCCCTACTTTATTGGTTTGGGATCGTGATATATTCCTTCCCTATCCTGTTTCCCACAACCAGAGAAATTGGACCTATACTTACCAAGTCTCAAGTTAATCAAAACCTTCATTTCCACCTGAATCACAAAAGAATTTTAGAAACTCATTTCCTACCTACTTCCATCCTGGAATGTATGAATTACTGTTTCTTTTTTAAAAAAAGATGTATTTATTTATTTCAAAGTCAGAGTTACAGAGGAAGGGAGAGAAGAGCGAGCAAGCTTTCATTCTCTGGTTCACTCCCCAGTTGGCTGCAATGGCCAAGGCTGAGGCAGGCCTTTAGCAGGGAGCTGGATCAGAAGTTGAGCAACCAAGACATGAACCGGCACTCATAGGATGATGGTGTTGAAGGTAGCAGGTTTACCTGTTATGCCACAACACCAGACCCGTGTCTGATATTTTCTTTGTTCTGATTAAAACCCACAAGCCATTTTTTATACAAGAAATGTTTACTGATAATCTGTTCACATTTCTACCTCTTCCTATAGCTCTTTACATGTTCTTGTCTATGAGATCTTTCCTCTATGCTCACTTTAATTCTGCCTTAAGTCCTTCCCTAATAATTTTCTTTAGCGATAATTTGTTCATGAAGTCTATTTTTGTTTGAAATGTCTATTTCATCTTCACCTTTTTTCTTTTTTAAAGATTTACTTTATTTATTTGAAAGACAGAGTGACACAAAGGGAGAGACAGAAAACCACCTTCCATCTGGCTGGTTTACTCCCAGAATTACCCAGAACAACTGGGGCTGGGCCAGGCTGAAGTCAGTAGCCTGCAACTCCATCCAGGTCTCCTATGTGGGTGGCAGGGGCCCAAGCACTTGGGTCATTTTCATAGTGTGTCTAGCTTGGCAGTTACTTTCTTTCAGCAAACTGAGGATTCCCATACCATGATTTCTAAAGTTAAAAAGTCATATCTTTGAAAGATGTAGTCATTTTTAGAAAACATTTCTCAATTTTCTCTGTGCTATGTCTAGTTTGTGTTTATTATTTCTCTGAGATTTGCTGGCTTTAGTAGGCTAGCACCTTTCATTAATTCTGAAAAAATTTCATTCTGCCTTCTCTTTTTAGGACTTACATTAAACTCAGATTTTTCTCTTCCACACAATTCTCATTCATCTCTACCATCATTCTTTTCTGCACAGCATTCAGGCAATTTCTTCTAATTTAGTTTCTGATTCCCCAGTTTCCTCTTCTGCTAGTTCTAATCTCCTGCTAAAATGTTTACTGAGATTTTAATTTTGGTTTTCTTTTGTAGAGGTGATATTTTGTGTTTCTTGTTTTTAGTTTATTGTTCTCTGCAATTATTGTCCAAACTCATTAATTGTTAGAGTTAAGTATAACCTGTTTTACACCTGTGTCTGAAAACTATGCCAATTTATTTCTGTTATTTATTTTTCCCCACTGGTTCTCTCTGCCTGTTCCTTTATGTTCCCTGGTGATTGCTAACAGCGGTTACTGCCCTTGAAGATTATTTGTAGGGGACAGATTTGCCGAGGCTAGGATGAACAGTGACTCTTCCAGGGAAGCTTTATGATTGCTTCTGCTAGGTTTCTGAGAGCATTACCTAAAGCAAATTCATTGCCTCGGACTCCTTGGCTTACCCATACCAGGCATAACCAGAATATAAATCTGAAAGTGGGGACTCAGGACCACAGCTTCTCAGGGATGTGTTTTTCTTCCGTTTTCATTTTCTGTCTGTCTACTGCCAAGACAGTTTTCAACAGCTCTGGAGTCTGGAGAATGAGGGCAGGTTTAATTCTAGTTGTACAGTCCTTCAGGGATCCTACGCAATGTGTGTAACAACTTCTTTGAAATGTCCTTTCACATTCACATCTGGGCTTTGACTTTATTCTCCTTCCATTTTGGTTTGATGAATGAAAGCCCACCTTGTGTTGGCAAATGTTTTACAGGCAAAACTGGCTTTAGCATTCTGATAATCTATTTACCTTTCTTGGTCAGGTGTTCCCCCTAAAGTTACCTGGGGGTTCACTGACCATCTTTTCAGCTTTTCAAATACGTTCAAAGAGACTTTCGAAACGTCTGGTACATGTAAAACAGTGGATCCAAACAACCTAGGCTGTTCTCACTAGATAATGAACTTTGCTAATTTCTTTACTATATGCAAACAAGTTCAACAAATGAGCCAATCTGAGCTTCTGAAATTGTTTAGTTCCTTAATAGCAAACAAGCTTGGGTTATAACATTTTAGTGAAAGTTATGATGAATTTATTTTTAACAGTTTGGACATTATATACATGCGAACATTTAATAACTATTTGTTAATGGAAACATAGGATGAAATTTCTTTTTGATAGAAATTTAGAATCCAAACCTTAAGTTTCCCCTCTTTGGAACTGAATTAGCTGAGACAGGTAAATTTCCCATTTAAGTTTTCCCCCAACAATCTAATCCCTTTTAAGATATCCAAAATTATTTAATCATTTGTGCTGGAAAATTTGTGACAGTATTAATTTTTCCTTGACTTTTAAAGAATATTAAACATAATTTATTTTTTGTTTATGATTCACAGCCACCATTGTGGACACCAATTCTTACACTGCATCTGAATGCAATGATACGCTCAGGCTCATCAGAGCAGCAGACTGTGTGCATTCACATTTATCCCCAGTGGCACCTCTATTCTTCCTGGACTCCCTCCCCCTCCCCCACAATCCTACTCCTACTGAGGTGTTCAGCATTTCTGCACATGCCTTTTCTCTTTCCCTTACCATAAAATACGCTTTTGCTTTATGTCTATTTATCCAAACTATCCTTGATCTTTCTGATTTGTTTTTAATCTAGACATGAGACAGAAAACCAGATAATGCTGCATTTTATTTCAGAAAGAACTGTTCATTTGTCAGTATCTTCCCATTTTCACTTTTTTTTCCTTCAAGAAAAGGGACTAC